CTCCCACCTGAGCCTGCAGCAGGCAGCCCACCCCCATCCCAGGCTCCACTCCAGCCATGCTGCCTGTGGGGGAGGGGGAGCTGGACTCTGCAATCAGGCCGCAGCAGCTCCTGCAGGCAGCAGCTGGGACTTGGGCACTGCTGTGGGGGGCAGGTAGCTGTGGGCCCAGGGGGTCCTTGGCAGCTGTGGAGGGACCCGTGGACCCAGCTGCCCTGGCAGCTGGATGCCCCTTCTAACAGGGCTGGAGGGGCAGGGGGCTGTGGGTGGCAAGTGAGGGGTACCAGCAAGGTCAGCAGGATATGACTTGGGAGTGAGGGGCCTGGACCTGTGTCCTGGTGAGCTAAGGGGGCAGGGGGAGCTCTCATTTTCCATGATAAAGAAAAGAAAATCAAATACCAAGTACTTAGAATTTCATTTACTGTAGTGACTGAGGCACTGATAGGCTTCCAAATTGCTTAAATGTGTGTTTGAGAGAGAGGCGTTTCATTTTAATAGTGGATTTTGCAATTTTTTTTTATTAGAGAATTTGCAATTTTTATCAAGGAAAACCAGGACCCCTGCTAATCACCATGTCTTTATGTTGGTCAAGTTTCCCAAGGAGGAAGTCAGTTTTCATCAGCAGGTCTGGTTACTATGGTAAAAACATTCTTAATCTGCCCATCTCAATTTTTACAAATAAAAAAAAATGTTTTATGCAAAAAGTAACCTCATGTTCTGGCTTTGGGAAACTTGTCTGGAATTAATTTCTAAATAATAATGGAAGCCTAAGATACATAATAAACTATACTGGGGGAGGACATAAAAGCAAGGGTTTGTTTTAATGTTTTATAAGTTATTTATAAGAAAAGTCTCCATAAAATGATCACAGACAACTCAGTGATTTAAAAACCTTATGAAAATAGGACATAACCAGCTGCTGCCAACATGTAATTTACTTCCTAACATCACTTACTAGGGTTGTGCGGTTTGTTTGTTTGTTTTGGGGGGGGGATTGTTTGGTTTTTTTACAATTACATGGCATCAGCTCCAATTTTGTACAGAAAAAGAAAAACTTGCAAAAAGTTTTACATGAAAAAGTATAATTTCCACATATAAAATAAATATAGATTCATTTTCATCTGTAATTCTTACAATTATTTGCAAACAAGCAACAACTATCACTGACAACATTTTACAGATAAGGCACAGATTGGTTAAATGACTTGTCTTAGATCACATAGCCTGTCAAAAATAGGACTAAAATTGTAATCCACATCTGATAGTGGAATGCCCCAGCACTGGATACTGAATATATTTATGAGGGTTTCTAAAAACAATTTTTTATTAGGGCTTCTAGAAAAGTGAGAGCAAGGTGAACTGAAAACTTAAATGGTAATAATAATTATGCATTCACAGGAATGTTCAATACCCTATTGTTTCAGACATTGTGTAAATATGTAGCAAGAGACTGCTGTGACCCAAACAACTTTCAAATTATATAAATAAGATAAAGGGTGAAAGAAAGGTAGTGGTAAAACTGACCTTCTACAGAAGGGAAAACCGAGATTTTTTGATGCAAGATGGGAGTACTAACTTTGTACATTGCCTAGAATCACACAGGAGTTCTGTGGCAGAATTGGCAACTGAACCCAGATTTTGTACATTATTCACAAAATATTTCTTCCTTTCATACCAATAATACACAAGCATAAGGCAAGCCACTAGTTCCCAAATGTTTTTGCTTGTGATCTCACAACTCACTTCTAGTTACAAGCTCCCTTCTGGAAGCAAATTTCTGTTGATCTCACAACCCCATTCATAAGTGGTACAATCTCATTTGGTGTCACAGCCAGGGTCTGAACTGAGGGTGGCAGAGGCCAGAACAGCTCCCACTGCCATCTTTGCACCATCCTCAAGTGGGTGCCCAGGGCTACTGCCCCAGTCATCCACCCTTATGACACCACTGTTACCACCCCAGTTTGGAAACCACTAGTATGAAGTTCCACCAAAAGCTCTGTTGCAAAATCTTCAAAAATACCACAACCTTAACAAGAAATATATAAAATGAATATCAGGTCACAATGACAAGGGAACCGAGTTTTGATCTGTAACAACTCTACTAGTTTTAGCATAGCAGAAATAATCATTGCTAACAACATGTACTTATCACTGGAACACTATACAATCATCAGCTGGAAACTAGACAAATCCCTAAAACAGATGTCTTGCCTATGTAGAAAATGAATCCTGTTTGTTCTTAAGCATACTGAATAAAAATGTTTCATAACTTAATCCGTCTTGGGCCATTAATTTTCTTTGGTCTATTAATTTTCTCTCGGGACCTCCTCTCCACCACTAAAAAAGGCAGTTTGCAGTCAGCACATTCTCAGATCAGTATCTACTACTATTTACTTCTAAAGGGACTTAGTTTAAAAATAATCAAAATAACTTCCATAACATGCAAATACTCTAGCAAAAAAGAACAAGAAAACAGGTATGTATCTGACAATAAAGCTGAAAAACAAAATTTAAAATTGACAGTGTGTCAAGGTGTTAGGTTACGACAAAAGCAATGCAGAATCGTAGAAGTTAGAGGTTTTATGTACTCTGAGTTGTTTAAATGAAAATATAACTGTGGCTTTCAACCCTATTAAATGATTTTATGATGTACATAATTCTGTACTTTTGCCTACAAATTATACTTTTATTGATGGATTGCTTTAATTACCCATCTAATTATAACTGCTGTTTGTCAAGCACTTCCAACAGCCTATGTGAGTAAATTTTACATTTTTCTTCCTTTTGCAGATTTTCTGATTAAGATATAATTGACTTGAGTTCTTTAGTGTTTATCAATAGACAGATAAAGTAAGTTAAATCTCATTTTAAATATTTTAATAGTGTACTGCCAACTAAGTAAGTAACATTTGACTTAAATATGTAAAAGGATAAATCTCAAAAGATAATTTATGAGTTACATTTTGGAAACATTTGCTTGAAACCAAACTGATAACTTTATATTACTCCAAATGTTATTAGACATTGTTCACACCATCTATTATATGCATTACTCTACTCTAGTGTTTCAGTAATATATATAGTACTTTGAGTATTTGTTTTAAAAAGTCACTCAAATCCAGTACCTAAAGTATGACAAAATTTAAGATCAGTTTAGATTTTTTTGGTGTAGTCACCTTTTCTAGCATTCAGACATTATTTTACTGATTCAACTCTCATTTTGTGAAGAAGTCTGATCTTCTCATTTACATAAACAATCAGTATTTTGAACCTTTTTCTAATTGGGGAAGTTTTTTAAAGTAGAGAATGAATTGTCAAAAAAAACCAACATTAGTTAAAACAGCTGAAAGGAAGAACTGTGTGTTAAAGGTGTATACTACTCCTCACTCCTACGTCGAAAGATCCCTCCAGGCAATACAGACTGCATAAAAAAGAAACATTTCTCCAGCTGAAAGGTAGGGATTACTTTATAAAACACTGCATCCACTATGCACCTGCAGCTGAACAAGATTTTGTTGAAACATGGGTTACGATAAATAGAAACCACTGAAACAACTTCAGAACTTTCAAGCAAACAGAGTACCAGCACTGCAGCTTAGCTGTGGCAGGAGACATAAAAACATATACCATCAAAATGTACCAAACTATCATAGGAATCATCATGATTATAAATTATATTATGGGCATCTATGTTACACTCCGTTCCAAACACAACAATTCCAAAGACAGAGTACCCTCCAAAGCCAGGCTAGGCCTCTGGTTTAGTGTCAACTTGGAGGGCAATGTACCACCTACTGAATCACCAGCCTTACTTCCTACCGCATGTTTTTCTTTGAATTTCTTTAAGTCTAGTATCAGTGAAGCCTGACCATGCCTTATGTAAGATATGATCTCATGTCATCATATAGCAAGGTGAAATACTGCAGGAAAAACTAGAAACTTACAGACAGGAAAAGAAATTCCTGGAGTATTACACTCGGTCAGAGGAGTCTTCAAGATTTGGCAGCAGAGTAAGTTATAGTAATGATAATTTTACAGTACACATGTATTTTTAATTAATTTTACAATTATTTTGTGATTTTATTCTGAAAAAGGATAAGCTTAAAGTTAATTACAAACTATCAGACTGCTTCATGGTGGCATTTACTATGCCCAGAATTAAAGCTTTTAGGAGAATTATGGAAAACTATTCCAGAAAAAGATTATAATAGATTTATATCATAAGAAGTAAATCAACTATTATTTAGGTGTGGATGGAAATAATCACAATATATTCATAACCACTATGATATTAAGGTCAAATCCGATCCAAAATTTATAAAAATACCTTTTTATAAAAGAACAAGCGAAGGGTTTCTAAAACCAAAAAGATACTCAAATGCATTTGGCAAACCTTATGGCATGATATAAGCAGCAAGCACAGGAAATATATATATAATGTATATCATAATGTTTCTAATAGCATTTGCAACTCAAACACAGAAGCACCTTACAAGTCCATTGGAACAGAAGCTGAAATTGCCTGGAACATGACGATATATAAAAAAAAGAAGTGCAACTGCCCGGACAATGGGAAGTAACCTGACTTTTAAAATGCCTATTTGAAATAATCTAAAGTGTTTGACACAACTGTCTTAGGAAAACTGAACACTTATGTATATACAATACTGATTGTGACCTTAATCTGGAACTGACAGCAATGGGTAGGCAAACCTCTATATTGCCCAGAATCCCAAGGAAATTAATGGGAGTCAGCTCTGAAGTCTGACCCTGTTCATTGGGTATGGCACTTACACTGAAATCTGATATTCAAACAGTATAACAGATATTCAGTACAGTATAACAGTCAATAAACACTATGACCTTCCTTAAATCAATGTAAATAGAGGCTCAGAACTGCACTGCCACACCTATAAACCAACTTTTCAAAGCAATGCAACTCACAATCTTCCCAGTCAGCTGGTTTTTCCAAGTGCATTTCTGCAAGTCTTCATAATACTTACGCATTGCAATAAGGTTTCTTTTCATATCCTTTGTAGTTGTTCATGTTTAGAGCCATTTTGCAAACCTCACAATGGAAACATCCTTTATGCCAGTACTGTAAGGAAATGTAATCGATAGTTACTTATAGTATTGTGTAATCAGTACTATCACATGTCGATACCTGTGCAAGCTAAGAACTTGTCATATATGCTTGTGTAAATGGGAGTTACTTTCTTACACATCTGCAAGTACTAGGGAAACAATTTCAAAGCCATAAATTACCTATTAACATGAAAAATCAAGATCCCAGCGCCAGTGTGACCGTATCGGCATCATTTTAACAGATACCCAAGGCAAGACGTTGACATTTTGATCAGTACAAAAGTAAAAATCAATAAAAATATTTTCTCCAAACCATCCATAGCCTATGGTAGCCTAAAGATGAGCTACATTTAGCAGGCACGGAATGGGATTCTCACCTGATCAGGCTACACTCTGGAGGGGAGAATTGGGGAGGGCGGGGTGGGGTGTCAGTCTGTAGCAATTTGTCACAGCCTTAATGCTTGCACTCTTATTTATTAATTGATCCTGCTGGGTGAGAACCGACATCACAGAGGAATCATTTCAGGAGGGAAAGGGCATCTGTCGGATCTGCCCGGGGTGTAAGTCTCGGTCAGGGCAGAATGGCTGTTGTGTCATGAATGATGTTGTTGAAGCCTCCAAGCCACGCCAACCTGAGGCAGAATCAGCCCCAGCTCAGGGGATGTCACCGATGACTTGAGGGAGGCGTTCACCAGAAGGCAGGGCAGGGATGCACCCCGGAGCGCACAGCTCGCTCCGGTCAGTTTCTAAGGTGCGTCTCTTCCCTGCCTTCTTCCTCCAGGGAGCGAGAGACGCCCCCCAAGATCTCGGATCAGAGCACACCCTCCCGGCCCCCGGCCCCACGGCGGGCTCCCCACTCGGGGCAAGGAGCGATGCGTCAGCGCTGTGACACGTTCATTACGATCTGCCGCTTCCCTTGCGGTGCTCGCAGGAGGAGGAGGGGCGGACTCCGGCGCCGCGCCGCGCCGCGCCGAGGGGGCTCTGCCTCCTCCTGCAGGGACCTGCGCCCCCGCCTGCCGCCGG